CAATTGCAGATTTCTAGCTAGATGCTGTGTTGTTCCCTGTTTCCTTTTTTTTGCATCAAGTGTGGAACATCGCTTTTGCTTTGTTCCTCCTGCCACTCTTTTCTTGGATAAAATGTTCAGAGGGGAAGTACTGAGATGATAACTAGTATGAGATTTCTCCAAAGCTTAGACCTTTCTCTGTGCGACTTATAAATAAATCCTACTTTTTAACCAATGTCAACTTTTCTCAGCTAAGCGCTGTTAGGAAGATGAAGCCAAGGTGTCAAGAGCATCATGGATCTGGCCAGGAAAGGGGAATACATTTTTAAATATCTCTCTAGAAATTTGTAATGGGCTCTTTTGAAGGCAAACCTCAGAAGTACTTTATTTTTATATAGTGAACTCCTATACAACAGTGAGTATAGCATTGCCCTGAACTTGAAGTGACCATTATACTTTATTTTTTTTTGAGACAAGGTCTCACTCTGTTGCCCAGATTAGAGTGCAAGGGTGTGATCATAGCTCACTGCCCAGGTCAGACTCCTGGGCTCAAATGATTCTCCTGCCTCAGCCTCCTGAGTAGCTGGGACTACAGACATGTGGCACCATGCCTAGCTAATTTTTAAATTTATTTATTTATTTCTTTGTAGAACAGGATCTCTCTGTGTTGCCCATGCTGTTCTCAAACTTTGGGCTCAGGTGATACCTGGGCCTCCCCAAATGCTGGTATTAAAGGAGTGAAACACTGTGCTCTACCTCATTATACTACTTTTAAAGTCCAAGGGATGAAGTGCTCATAGCAAAAGATTAGATAAGGTAGATAACTTGTTTCATTCAAATATAAAAGTTAGTCTGGCATTTCCAGCTTCAGAAAGTACAAGTTCATTGGAAATAATTCCCAGGTTTCTTCCCCTTCTTTTGCCTTTTGTGTATATTCAGCTTTTGAAATGCCATCTTGAATTATTTTCAAAGTTATTTATTTTAGAGTTCAAAGACTGATCTGGTTAATTCTTTAGATAAAGAGGAGGTGCAAAGGTGCAAAGTGAGGTGCAAAGTATCCACCTTTGCCAGTCTGGATTCTTTGCATTACAGTCAAGTTATTTCCAATGGTAGACCCTCTGTTGCCTTTAAGTATTTTATAGATCACTAACTACTTAGATGAGAGCTGGGAAACAGACAAAAGTGGTAGAAACCATTTCCAGGTAAAGATGCTGCTTTTCCAGAAAAGAAAAATAGAGAGTCTCTCAGGGATTTTAAACTTTTTTCAAAGGGAAAATAAGTTCCTATTTACAGAAATATCCCAGGAGCAACACCCTGTGAATAATGAGGCCCAGAGTCACAACACACCAGCCACAGTCCCCCTGTTATGAGCAGACCTTGGACCAGGTGCGTTATGTATTATTTCATTTAATCCTTCAAACATCCATGAAATGTGGTGTTTTTATCTCCATTTGCCAGATAAACAAAATTAGACTCAGAGAGTCTAATCAGTTTGAAGCTGAAATCTGTGCTCAGGTCTCAAGCCTGTGCTCTTTCTGTAGTAGAATAAGGCCAAGTTGAAACCCGAGAGAAGTTGGTGATATTGTCTGAAGTGATCACAAGACATATTGACATATTTTCCTTCCATTTCTTTCCTTTTCTTCTTAAAAGTTGAGTGATTTGAGAGTACTCAACACAGCAAGAAAGGAGAGAGAAGTCAGTGTCACTCCCCTACTCTAAGAAAAGTGGTTGTCTAACTATCCTATCTTTTGTTTTGCTTATAGAATTCTACTTTGCATTTTACAGAATTATGAATTGTTGGGTTTGGGAATAAAAGAATGACAGGAAACAGCTTAAAGGCAAATATATCCAAGCACCTTTGATTTAGTGATGCTTCGAGCTGTAGCTGAGATGTGGGCATAGAGGAGAATTTCAGTTTTTACTACTCACACAGACCAGCAGCGGTGTCTAACCTTCTACCTTTCTCTGCCACAAAGAGCAAGAATGAGAGTTGTTTTGGGCCACCCATTAAATACACAAACCCTAACAAAAGCTGGTGCCAAAAAATAACAAAGCCCATGCGTATATTTTATACTATCTGACACAACAGTCCTCAAATAAGCAGCATGCAGCCCACAAACCCCAGGTTAGATGCCCTAGGGCACTGGGCATGAGGTTGTGCATTGAATTAACACTGGCCTTTTGGAACGTGCGGGTTCCAGTGGTCCACTTTGCTTTCCCCTCCTTAGGCAGAGAGTCTGCAGTTCTGTTCGCTGTTACACAGGGCCAGAAGGTGGGAAGTTGATTTCAGGAATCAGATCCTGTGCTGCCAGGAGAGCAGAGATTGTGAGAAACCAAATGGTATTTGTTACGCAGTGCAGAAGTCAAAGTGACTTTCACTCCCAAGCCACAGACACCATGGGACAACTTGTGGAAATAGAGAGGAAGAAGCCAAGGTTTAGAGTGGGAAGATCTGAATTCAGGTCTCGGTTGTACTCCTGCTGCCAGTTCCACACTGCCTTGAGTAATGCTTAGCCATGTTGATGGCGAGTTTTTTCATTTGCAAAATGGAGATAATGATTGTACCAATGCTGGAACACTGTGAGCCTAAAAAGAGATAACTGATACAAAAAGTTTAATATAAACTGCTACATAATCATATGAAAAATAGTAGTTAATATTATTTTAACTCACTTAGGAGGATTAAAAGTAGGTGTCTTTCTAATTGTCCTTACCTAGCGGCCAGAGATTTCTGGTCTCCATGGCTCTTTTATATGTTGTGTTCTAATTTATCTACACATGATGTGTTTTATTATCAAACTTTTCATTGAAGTTTTGTTCTGTGGATGTCCCAGGTCAGGCTCGATACAAAAATCCCAGTACAGGCTGGATATAAAAATAGCAGTCAAATTGTATTTTTTAGTAAAATGTAGACTAGGGTAGAAGGTGAGAGGGGACTCTGGAGGGAATGAGCAGGAGAGGGGGCTGCTACATCCCTGCTCTAATATTTACCAACTGTGTTTTTGCTTCCTCACCTATTAAATGAGAGGCTAATGAACAGTAACTACCTTCTGGGGTTTTTGACATTAAATAAAATAATACATATGCACTACTATGTGTCTAAAACATTGCATCCACTAAATAAAGATTAAGTATTAATATTGTTAAAAACTCAATGTTCTTCTCATAACAAAGTCCCTTTGTCAAAGCTAAGGTCAAAGACAAAGCTATGCTAAACTATGTCAGTGTGCTGGGCCATGTCAAGGAGTGTTCCAGAAAGTTGATTGTCTACCATTCCTAGAACACATCCACCAGATCAGTGGCCCAGTTAATGGAAATTTAGCCACCTTCAGTTTCTCTTAAGGCTCTGAAGGTAACTCCTTGCAAATGTGATTTGATTTAGTTATTTTTTGAATCCATATGGTAATAGCCAATTTCATTGGTTTTTAAAATTAATTCATTACCTTTCAAATTTCTAGCGAGAATGTTCCCTCCCCCTCTTTGCTCCCCTGTTCCTTTGTTCCTTGCTCCTCCCCATCTCTTTCTCTCTCATCTCTCTCTCATCTCTATCTCTTTCTCTCTCTCAGAATCTGTTCTAGGCCTGGCTGGAGCACAGACATACTTCGAACGCAGCCCTTACCCACAGTCCAAGAGAAGTGAGAAGGTGGATAGGTGAAGGGTAGAATGTGGTAAGAATCTCGAGTACCTTGGTGGTTTAGAGGTGAGAACGCCTCTGATTCCATGGAAATTAGAGAGGTTCTCAGGGTGTGGACTTTGAGCTCAACCCCAAAGGACAGTAGGATCCAGCCATGTGAAGGCTTAAGGAGAGGAGAGGAGGATGTGTACTCTGGGCTAAAGGAGCAGCAGGAGCAAAGTCATGGAGGTGGGCTTCTCTTGAGGAGAATTGATGTTAGGGATTAGCTACAAGGACTATATTTTCTCCTGACTGCCTCTTGTAGAATCAGCTAGCATAGTCTTCATTGCAAACATGGATTTGGTGGGGGGAAAAAATTCCTCGTTCTGACATAGATTCCCAGGCATCAGATTGTTCCTGGGCTTAACCTCCCTTGATATCCATCTTAGCGCCTGAGGTTTATCAGACATCCAAGTAGGTTTATGTTTAGGATTTGCCCATTCATAGTGACTACTGTTATTATCATATCGGTATCTAAGGGATCACTGTGGTATCTGTTCCTTAATCCAGAGCTGCTCCCTCTAGTTTAATTTCAGGATGAAGTCATCAGTGCACTGCAAAGGGAAGCAGTTTTGACTAGGGTCATGCAATAAGGTACCTTCTTCAATCCCATGTGTGCTAGCATTTTCACAGGTAACTTGGGCACACTCAGTCCATGCCTTCAGTCTCTTTCATCCACTCATCAAACTCTCATTGAGCAGGTCTCAGCTTCCACACCAATAGGGATCTAAGGAACAATAAAGCTTTGACCCTATTTTCAGGGTAGTCTAGTCTAGAGAATGATGAGGAGCGCAAAAGGTGGACAGTTAAAATCTTTCAGAGTTATAGTAAATAATAGTAAAATGGCAGAGGTGTTTTGATTTTATTTTTTCCTGGAGGAAGGATATTGAAGAGATTCTTCTGGAAGAGGTGAAATTTAAGTTAAACCTTTAATAGGAATAGTTTTATTGACCTGGTTTCTTCACCCTCCAAGATCCATGCATGCCCTTGGAATGCTTGTTTTTGTTTTTTTTCCCAGATGCAATTTTGCATCTGGCCATGGGCTAGGAATTAATGGCATGAACTACCTCTTGTCTGAGAATGTGCTGCCTCCTGACTCTTGAGCTTTGTTCTATGTGTCAGTGCCTCATATTCATATTCATATTTCTCAATAAATGATGACAAGGCTTTTCCCATCAAGGCTTTATATCTACTATCTTTCAAAGGCATGTGATTCTGTCTAGAATGTTTGCCAACTCTAAATGCTTACAGAATTATATTCAAATGGTATTTTTTAGATTGAATGACTGATGAGTTAGCCTGATGATTTCTTTGAACTTCATGGGGGTTTTGGTATCTATTTTCTCAGGATGAATTCAAAACTTACTCTTGGAAAAAGGTAAAGTGGATCTGCCTGTCATCATTAAACAGCACGTTCGGTCTTACTCCTGATCACCCTCTCATTGCAGATGAGGAGTACATCATTAATAGAGCCATACGAAAGCCAGACCTAAAGGTAAGAAAACTTATGGCTACTGCTCAGGCCAGAGAAATCTAATCTTTTGTCCCATCCAGTATAATGTTGAATTCAGTCAGGTCTTTCACTGTGTTAGCCCTCAACTGACAGTGTAGAATGTTACCAAGAACTTGAACTTTGGATCCAGACAATGCTCAACTCAGATCTCAGCTTCATCCTTTTAAACAGTGCAATCTTGAATCAATTACTTAATTATGCTGAGCCTCAGTTTTCTCCTCTACAAAATATAATTATAATGCCCTTCTCAAATACCAATTGATGAAATTCAATGCATTAAGGAATAACACAAAGGTCAATATGTCAGGTACTTAGTAAATGCTCAGTATGTATTTGCTTTTAATAGTGTTATGGCCTGTATTAAAACTTGTGCAACAGGACTAATCTTATAGTAAAGGTAGTCATTCAGGAAATTTGCTTATGCCTGCAAAATAACCTTATTTTGAGTTCTTGTCATTCAAACGTGTTTGGGCTACTCCCTTTTCACCATATTAAATTAGTACCGACTGGCTCATGACTAGTTAACATTCATATTAAAGACAAATTTTATAAGACAGAATGTTTTCTCTTATATTTATTATTTATTTGTGTAGTCAGCTGTTTAAATAAGTTTCATGAGCTAAAGGTCAATTTTTTAAAAATAAGGAGGAATTTTTCTATTATCAATTGTCAATGCCCAGTTTTCCTAACTGCTAGAATAAACAAAAACAAAAGAGGTCAAGCACTTCCAAATAACAGATTGCCTCATCTTTTAGGAGACCACTCACCTGGAAGAGTAGGCTTCCTAAATCAGCTTTACATCAGAGTTTGATTGCCCTGAAATTCTAGCATCTGTAATTGCATCAAACAAATAAGTGGACAGACAAATGAAGAAATGGTCAAGTAAATAAATATAATGTAAAGAAGGGGTAGAGGTCTTCGCATGGAAAATTTTGAAACCCAGGTTAGGTTAATATTTTCCTTTACCAGCCCATGATATAGGCCATTTGCTTAGTTCCTGAGTCTTGAGTTACTTATTTATAAAATGAGGTAATAACCCCTTCTCTGCCTATTTCTCATGGCTGTTGTGTACCTAAAATGAGAAGATAGAATAAAGATGGTTTGTGAACTGCTATAAGCTGTATTTGTAATATTTGAAACTTTCATTAAAGTCAGAGGGCCGTCATGTCATGGGCTTAGCCATGGTGACACTAATAGCAATGACGATAACCATCTATGGATGTTTAAGGGGAGTTTAGAGATTGCAACAAAGCATTATGTCAGGTTTGCAAACATGTTTAAGAGGAGACTGTAAGGGCCATCTTGTAGGACTGCTTGCAAAGCAGAAACCCAGCGCTTAACCTGTTCAACAGGATGTTCTTATAACGTGTTCCAGCAAGAAGTGAAGAACAGGAAGTTTGGGGAGAGGAATCTTTCTGATTCCTGGGCAGAAAGAGGAAATTCACTTCATGACAGATTTTCAGTTTCCTAACTGTTTCCTAGTCTCAAGTTCAGGAAATGGGCAAATGAACACCCCTTGCAAATATTACCCTTAACAGCCTCTTACCAGCTTCTGGAGGCTCTGGGGGTGATGAGGGAAGCAGATAAACTCCAGGCAGAGATGTCTGCTGGAGGATTATCAAAGAGGCTTAGAAGGACTGTGATGGAGCCATCTCCACCTGTAAGAATGGCTTCAGAAATTGCCAGAAGTAATGGAATTTTCCATTTTCTGGACTGAGGTGAAACTTATTGGTAACCTCTTTATTCCTCATCGTTGCTGCCTTCCTTGGCAGGTGTTTCACGTTTTTTGTGTTTTATAAATTTCTCAATCTCAGTTTGCAGTTTCACAGCCCCTTGATAGAAATTCTCTGAGCAAGGGCCTTACCTTCTACCTTTAAATTCTCCTTTATGAACTTTCTAACACAGACTTCAAACTTGATGAAATTAATAAGTAGGCAACCTCACTTTATGCAACTTAGATCCTGAAGTTAGGGGACTTGGTTTTTTTTCTTTTTTTTTTTAATTTGTTTGAATATAACATTCTTTGAGAGACTAAACTTTAGAGCCAGATGGGCTGAAGTACAAATTCCAGCCTTGTAAATGGCTGAATCAAAGTGAACCAGGTACAAAGTGAAGAGGAATGTAATATCTGCTCCACCACAAGATGATGAAAAAACACTAAAGATTATAGGTGGAAAATCCTAAATGCTCAATAAATATTATTTATGACTACAGTCTTGCTCTAATTGCAAAACGGGGGAGAATATGGAAGAGAGAAAAGTAGGTTGTGAGATGAGAAACTTGAGATTCTAATACGGGCCATGATGGTGAACAGGTTCCAGACCTGGTCACTTTCAAATGTTCTTTCCATTCTCCAATTTGCAGCTTGGGAAGGAAGTATCATTTCCATGGAGAATTCACTCCAATTTTATACAGAGAATCAGTTGTAAACAGAGTATATCTTTAGTAAGTTACTGTGCAACCAACATTACTGAAATAAACCCATTCTGTAAAAAAAAAAAAAAAAAAAGAAACCTGGCATTTTATACTCTTAATTGGTAACTATTGGATGTGTGTGTGTGTACATGTACACACGTGTGTACATATACCTATTGAATAGGGTTAAAATTCATTTGAGGCAACTCAGATCATGGAACCTAGGGATTTAAACTGCATTCCTAGTAGTCACGTGGTTTTATGAAGCATTTGTTCATTTATTTAATAAAAAAACATATTGAGCACTTACTACGTACCAGTTATATACTTTTTCCAGTTTTAGAATTTATTTAAAAGTCATACTGACTATAATATTTACAGGTATAGAATTTATATATAGGAGCTGGAGCGAAACTTAAACATAATCCGTTCAATTGCCTTGATTTATTCATGGGGAAACTGAGCTACAGAGAAATGTAGTTGAAATTCTCAAGGACACAAGTAGCAGAATAGCTATAAAAGGAAGCCTAACCACTGTTCCTCAACTTCAGCTGCCTATTAGAATTACCTGGGGAAAATTAAAAATATTTATGCCCAGGATGCACTGCAGACCAATTAATTCCAAATCTCTTGTGTGGGGGGGAACCCAGACAGCAGTACTCTTTTTCCAAATATGAAGGGGTTCGAGGTGTTTTTGTTAACATGGATGAATTGCATATTGCTGGTCTGTGCTTTCATTGTGCTTGTCCCCAGAGGGGTGTACATTGTGCATGATAGTTAAGTTTTATCCCCTAATGGCAATTACAACAACAACAAAACTAAATAAATGGGACTTAAATTAAAAAGCAGTAATTTCTGATGCTTCCTGGAGGATGCCAGTGAGCTGCCTGACAGTGCTACCCTTGCTCCACAGCAATACGACAGTCTTACTGTTTCTCTCTGTGCTTAGTTGGGTCATTAGTTCATGAAAATTCCAACTCACATATACACAGTTGCTTAAAGAAATCGGAAGCAAAAAGGCACAATTGTCATAAAAATTAGCTTTTCCCTGTTTTCCCCACTGCCAATGCCCTCAGAACCTTACTTCCTGGACCGCTTTTTTTTTTTAAATAATCTCTTCTCTCCTATCATATTTACCGCCTGCCTAATCTTTTTCAGGGTCTCTTCTTTTCTCTCCCTTTTTCTTGTTTAATGTGGTACTAGGACTTTGTTTTTAATTGACACATAATAATCATACATATTTATGGGTTAATATGTGATATTACACATTTATATATTGTGTAATAATCCAACAATGTAATTAGCATACCCATTGCCTTATACATTTAATATTTCTTTGTGGTGAGAAAACTCAAAATCTTCTCTAGTTCTAGCTCTTTTGAGGGATATAATACCATGGTGTTAACTGGAGTCACCCCACAGTGCAATAGAACACTAGAACTTATTTCTCCTTCCTGAGACTTTGTACCCATTGCCCAACTTTGCCCACATCCCCTTCCCTTTTGTTTGTTCCCCAGCCTCTGGTAACCACTATTCTACTGTATACATCTCTGAGACCAGTTTGTTTAGAGTCTACAAATGACTACTATCATGCCTCATTTGTCTTACTGTGAGTCTATCTTATTTCACTTAACATAATTCCTCAAGGATCATCCTTGTCAAAATAGAATTTTCTTCCTTTTTATGGTTGAATGGTATTTCACTGTGTGTGTGTGTACTACATTTTCCTTATCCGTTCATTTATTGATGGAACTTAAGTGGATTCCATATCTTACCTGTTGTGAATGCTGCGACAATAAACATAGAGTATAGATATCTCTTCGACAAACTGATTTCATTCCCTTTGGATATAGACCCAGTAGTTGGATCACTGGATCATACAGTTTTATTTTTTTATGTTTTGAGAAAACTTCATACTGTTTTCTGTGGTGACTGCACTAATTTACACTTCCATCAAGATTGTTTAAAAGTTCTGCTTTCTCTTTATCTGTGCCATTGTTTGTTATTTTTGGATTTTTTGATAATAGCCATTTAAACTGGAATGAGGTGCTATCTCATTGTGGTTTTTTGTTTTGTTTTGTGTTATTTATTTATTTTTTTGAGTTAGAGTCTTACTCTGTTGCCCAGCCTAGAGTGTACAGACAACAGTCTAGGTCACAGCAACCTCAAACTCCTGGGCCCAAGCCATCGTCTTGCCTCAACAACTCAAGTAGCTAGGACTGCAGGTGTCAGCCACAATGCATGGCTAATATTTTCTTTATAGTAGAGATGGGGGTCTCATCTTACTCAGGCTGGTCTTGAACTTCTCAAGTCAAGTGATCCTCCCACCTCAGCCTCCCAGACTGCTAGGATTATAGGCGACAGTCACTGTGCCCAGCTGCATTGTGGTTTTGATTTGCATTTCCCTGATTAGAGCTGTTGAGTATTTTTATATATCGTTTATATATCTTCTTTGGAGAGATGTCTGCTCAGATTTTTTCTCCAGTTAAAAATTTTTTTTCTTATTGAGTTCTTTACATATTTTGGATATGAACTCCTTGCAGATGCATAGTTTGCCAATATTTTTT